GATGGACAATTTTCTAGGATGGACATTTAGTCAAGATGGAGTGAGAGACTCTGTACGTTGTCCTTGCAAAGGGTGTAGGAACACTATATTCAAAGTGCGAAGTAAGATAAGGGAAGACTTATTAAAGAAAGGCTTCTGGGATAGTTATAAGGTGTGGGACTTGCATGGGGAAAAAAGGAGGTTTGAAAGGGGTTGTGAGACTTCTAATGTTATGGTAGAAGATGAAAATATGGAGGAAGAGAATCTTGTAAGGATGGTATATGATGCTTATAGAGTTCCTTTTGTAGGTGATACATATACAAATGTTAGATTAGAGGAAAGTGAAGAACCTAATGTCCATGCTAAAAGATTCTTTAACTTATTGAAAGATGTGGAGACTAAACTTTATCTAGGTTGTAGCATGTCAAAATTGGAGTTTATTGTAAAGTTACTTCAATTGAAGTGCCTTAATCATTAGAGCAACAAATCCATAGATTCAAACTTAGCCTTATTGAAAGAGGTTCTTCCTGAAGGGGTTTTAGTGCCTAACTCATTTTATGAAGCAAAGAAGATAATTCGAGATTTGGGTTTAGAGTATAATAAAATTGATGCTTGTGGGAATGATTGCATATTGTATTGGAAAGAACATGCAAATGCAGAATCATGTCCTAAATGTCATATGCCCAGATGGAAGTTGGACAAAAAGAAGGGAAAGAAAGTGTCACAAAAAGTATTACGACATTTTCCAATAACGCCAAGACTACAAAGGCTTTACATGGCAAGAGACACTACTTCTGAAATGAGGTGGCATAAGGAGAAACACATAAATGATAGTGTGCTCAGACATCCAGCTGACTCTCTTGCTTGGAAATCCTTTGACCAACAATATCCTAATTTTTCTGCTGATCCAAGGAGTGTTCGATTGGGTTTGGCTAGTGATGGATTTCAGCCCTTTGGAAATATGAGTGCTAATCATAGCATTTGGCCTGTTGTATTGATACCGTATAATTTACCACCATGGCTTTGCATGAAAAGCCCATACTTTATGATGACTCTTCTTATTCCTGGTCCAAAGTGCCCGGGTGATGAAATAGATGTTTACTTGCAACTAATGATTGAAGAGATGAAATACTTGTGGGAAGTAGGGGTACAAACATATGATGCATACTCTCAATCAAATTTCATCATGCACGCAGCTACCTTATGGACAATAAATGATTTCCCTACATATGGAAATCTTTCTGGGTGGTCAACTAAAGGCAAGCTTGCATGCCCGTGTTGCCATAAAGACACACATTGCCTTTCATTGAGGAGCAAGTTGGCTTACATGGGTCACAGGCGCTTTCTTCCACCAAATCACCCATGGCGCCGAGAGAAGAGCTTATTTGATGGGAAAGAAGAACATAGAACTCCACCAATTCCTTTAACTGGAGATCAGGCACTTATACAATTAGAACAATTGGGTAATGTGTCATTTGGAAAAGGTAAGAAACGAAAGCGTCATACATACACTAATGGTTATAATTGGAGGAAAAGAAGCATTTTTTTCAATTGCCTTATTGGAAAAATTTATTGATACGACACAATCTTGATGTCATGCATATAGAAAGAAATGTTTCTGATAATATTGTGTCAACAATTATGGATTTGAAAGGGAAGACAAAGGACACATTGAAAAGTAGGTATGATTTGATGGACTTGGGCATCAAGAATGGCTTGCATCCAATTGAAGAAGGTAATAAGGTTATTTTTCCTGTTGCTTCTTACACATTGTCCCCCAAAGAGAAACAATTAGTTTGCAACTTTTTGTATAACTTAAAAGTACCTGACGCTTTCGCATCAAATATTTCAAGGTGTGTAAACATTCATGAGCAAAAAATATCTAGTTTGAAGTGTCATGATCACCATGTGCTATTGCAAGAAATATTTCCAATTGCAATTCGTGGGATACTACCCCTGAAGTGTGTGAACCAATTGTAGAGTTGGGAAGGTTTTTCAAGAATCTTTGTTCAAAGAGTTTGACATGTGAAGAACTTGACAAACTTGAAAGTCAAATAGCATTAACCTTATGCAAGTTGGAGACTATCTTCCCACCTGCTTTTTTTGATGTCATGGTTCACTTACCGGTACACTTGGCAGGTGAGGCAAAAGTTGGTGGACCAGTCCAATATCGTTGGATGTATCCAATAGAAAGGTAAATTTTGCTAGTGTCATTACATATAGTCACATTCATAATTTATCATTCAAAGCTAAGTAATTGTTAATTGCAGGTATTTGCGAACACTCAAATCTTATGTTCGTAACAAAGCTCGACCTGAAGGATCAATTACTGAAGGTTATTTGGTTGATGAAAGTCTCACTTTTTGCTCACGATATTTAAAAGATTTTCCAACCAAATTTAATATGCCAAAAAGGAATGATGACATTAATAATGTTAACATCAATTGTGAGCTTTCGGTATTTAGGACAAGTGGTGAAGCTAGAGGACATTTTGAGTCAATTTCACTCTCTCATGAAGAGTACAATCAAGCTAGAATGTATGTGCTCCAAAACTGTGAAGAAGTTTGGCCATTCATAGAGTAAGTTAACCTTATTTAGAGAAAGAATATTAGTCATAATTTGTATTTTCTCACTAGTTTGGAAAGCTTGTAGGGATCATAGGAAAAAGCTTGAAGAAGAAAGTGGATCAATTGAGCAAAGGCATAGCAAGGAGTTTCCTGATTGGTTTCGTGCACAAGTATGTTATCATATTCTATTATTTGGTGTTTTTATTAATTTGTTTAATAGTATTTCATATTTAAGGAATGGTTCTTGTCTATATAGGTGATAAGGTGGTGCGATCAAGGCCACGTAAGTGATGAACTTATAAGTTTATCAATTGGCCCATTAAAGGTGGTTAATCGGTACTCCATATTCATAGGGAATGGATTTCGTTTCCACACAAAAGATCGGGCGACAGGCAAAAAAACTCAAAATTATGGAGTCATGGTGAAGGGTGATGATACCAATATTGATAAGGAATATTATGGTGTCTTAGAGGATATTCTTGAGTTATCATACATAGGAAATAGGAAAATATACTTGTTCAAGTGTCATTGGTGGGACATGGCTAACTATGGTAAGGGATATAAGGTTGACAATTATGGGTTCACAAGCATCAACACCCAGTATTCATTACAAACCAATGAACCATTTGTGTTAGCTTCTCAAGCAGAACAAGTTTTCTATGTGGATGACATTACAAACCCTAATTGGCTTCTCATTGTTAAAGCAAATCCATGTGATTTATTTAATATGCCAATTGAGAATGATAATGATGCTTATAGGGTCAATGTTCCTGTGATTAATAAGGAAGCTTCTCAACAATTAGTAGTTGATTTCAATATGTATGGTGCAAATCTTATGCAACCCAACATTGTTATTGACTTGTGTAGACATGATGTTCAGCCACAAACTTTTATCCAAGTAGATGAACCATCACAAAGAAATAATCGTAATGCCAGAGAGATTGGGTTTATTAATGACATAAAAATACAATCACAAGCGGACAAAGATAGTGATGAAGAGGATGTTCTCTCTTCTAGTGATAGTGAGACAGAAGATGATAGTGACACAGAAGATGAAATACAAGAGTATGAATTAGAAGATACTAGTGCTAGTGGCGGTGGCACAGAAGACTCCAACAAGTGAAATTATCATCTCCATAATTGGTAGCATTTATTAATAGGTTATTCTTTTCTTAACAACTTAAATATATATATATATATATATTATAAGACTTTGCCATTTACAAATACTTGTTTCTTACTATTTATTTATCTTGTGATTATTGTCCTAGTTACTTATTGAAAAATGTGCTAAAGTCAATGCTTTCTTGTAGGATATGTCAGCACTACAAGGACGAGGTGGGAAAGGCTATTTGATTGGACGACGTGGTAGCTCAAGTAGTGTAGGTAATACTTGTACACATCAAACAAGAGTTACTATTTCATCTCGACACTTGTAACTTCAAGAACCATATGACAACTCTCCTCCTACCCCAAATAGTAGTGAAGGTAAATTTTCTTCAAGTATATGCAATATAGATAATTAATCTACATAACATGTAACATTTAATTGATATAACTCTTTTGTATGAATGATAGCTTCTTGCAATGCCATAAAAAAAGGTAAGGGAATTTACAAGTCTATCAAAGTTGACTTGAAGACCAAATTTGGAGCAAAGATTAAAGTTAGAATTTCAGATTACATTACAAGAGTAGTGGGTTTAGAAGCTAGAGACTTGGCTAGCTATTGTGGTTTAGTTGTTAGAACCACAATATCCTTTCAAGATGGGGCTGATTGGAAAGACATTTTCAAAAAGTATGGTGATGAGATGCTTTTGAAAGTAAACGTATTTTTTTATTTCATACATGCACATATGTCATATATACTTGTTTTTTCAACAAGTATTTATATTTTAGTGTGCTCTAGGAAAAATTTAAACCTACTGACCAAGCGAAGGAAGAGAAGTTTAACAGGATTATCTACACTACCATGCAAAATGCCTTTAGAAATTGGAAGACTAATTTGCATGCTCATTATAAGTCTTATGCCACTGATGAGGAGAGATTAAATAATCCACCTAATTATGTTAGTTCTCAAGATTGGGAGTGGCTTGTGACATACTTTCAATCTGAAGATTTCAAGGTAACTTGCTCTTTATACAAGTTGATGTAGTATTTTACTTAATTTGTTAAATCCTTACTAAATATATAAATTATCAATTTTCCTCTAGAAAAAAAGTTCAAGAAATCAACGAAATCGACAATTACAATTACGAAGCATACTTGTGGTCCTCGATCATTTGCCGAGATTGATTACTCTATTGTGAGTACAATATGTCTTTATTACATAATACTATTTAATCTTATTCATTTTCAATATATTAATTATTATCCTCATACATGATAGAGAGACACCACCACTAGACAACCAGCACCTCTTGATTTGTTGTGGGAACTAACACATATTAAGAAAACTGTAGATGGGCAAAAGGTTTGGGCAGACCCACAATCAGAACAAATTCATGTATGTATATTAATATTTTCTTTTGCAATAGGTTGGTCTTTAATTTTAATTTTCTTAGACTGATTGATTTATTTAACTATAGGCTCGCATGCAAGAGCTTATTCATCAGCAAGAGCAGCAACAAGACCTAGAGAGTGATAATCAAATGACATCTGATGAGATCTTGACAACTGTTCTTGGTAAGAGGTCAGGATATGTGAGAGGGAAAGGCTATGGAGCACAGCCTTCAAGAAAGAGGGATTTCTCCCAATTTGATAATGAATCATTGGTGGAGACCGTGCGCCAACAATTACAAGAAGAATTTGAAAGACGGTTTGATGCTGAGCGGGAAAAGATGGAAGCAAATCTTGCAGCAGAGCGTGCACGGATGGAAGAAGAGCGGACACAGCTTGAGCAAAGAATAGAACAGTTGATGGAGCAAAGAATACAGGCACAATTAGCTGCCTTGATTCCTTCTATGCAACAGGTAATAATTTTTTATACATTTTAAACTTACTATGTCTTTTTATCTTTGTTTACAAGTTTGCATCATGAGGAGCTTTGAAAAGAAGCTAAAATTGGTTGATCTCATCTTGAGAGATTTTAGTTCTTTTATACATGCTTCTCTTTTTGTTTTGAAATTTAACTCTCTTTATGTTCTTGTATCTAAAATGTTTCTCATTAATAAAAATAATTTGATTTTGACATGATAAACTTTAACTTTTTCTTCACAGGCACAACATCAAGAGGCACCTACATCTACATCAACTCCTTCAGTTGTTCCATAAACTTGTTAGTTATTTGACTTAGACAAAGTTTGAAGCCTAATTAGTGGGTCCTCTTTCCCATTTACCATCGTTGTTTTTTGGGTACATTTTCTTCCAATGCAAATGCTTATTAAACTTCAAACTTTGAGGTCTTTTGAACTTGCTTTAATGTTTTAGATGCTTTATCCATAGTATGTTTCTAATATTGCATTGAATCATAGCTTATTGGAGATTGGAACCCAACAATCTTAGTTTATAATTAATAAACATTTGGTCCCTCGTTTGATCATTGACATTTTCAACACAAAATAGAAACTGTAAAACACTTACATTAAATGCTTTACATTGCAATTTTTATTTTCATTTAATCCTCTAATGTCCAATTTTAAAATTTTCTTAATAACAATGTATATAATTATTTATCATACAATGTCTCCATTTGAGTAATTTTATTTTACAAAAAAAAAGGTTTCAGCGGTGACTTTTAAGGTTGCCGCTGAATGTAACAATTATCAGCAAATGAGAAAATAATAATCAGCGGCGACTATGTAGTCGCCGCTGAATGAACTTTCAGCGACGACAATGAGTCGCTGCAGAAAATAATAATCAGCGGCGACTACATGTAATTGCCGCTGAATGAACTTTCAGCAGCGACAACGGGTCGCCGCAGAAAATAATAATCAGCGACAACTACATGTCGCCGCTGATATATGATATTCAATGGCGACTAGTTTCAGCGGCGACATTTTGATCTCTTTAGCGACAAATAATGTCGCCGCAGAAAGTATATATTCAGCGGCAACTTTTTTTGTCGCCGCTGATAGAATCAGCAACAGCAGCTCTCGCGGCGACTTTGCGGCGACAAAGTGTCGCCGCTGAAATGTTTCAGCGGCGACATTTTATCTTTCAGCGGCGACTTTTGTCGCCACTGAAAGTCAAGTTTTTTGTAGTGTTATTGCATGCATTTTTGGACAGATTAATTAATAGTTCTAATCAAGGTTTATAAGTCAATAGAGTGGCCTGTATTTATTTTTCCTTACAAAATTCATCACAAAATATATTGCGAAATTATTGGGACATACTTTATGACGAAAATTTTGCGAATGTGTAGCAAATCAGATATGAATTTTTCTTCATTTTTGCCGCCGCTTTTCATGGCAACCTATACTGAATCTTCACTCTCCCATATTACATATTATTTCGCCAGTCATTTAAGTACACTCACTTAATCTTAATTAGTGTTTTAACTACAGCTGTCAGATTTTATCAATACTTAAAAATTATTAAAATATATTTTTCTCTAAAAATTTGAAAAAATCATTACGATCAAATCACTTCTCACATGTGCTGTCTCCTCCAAAATTTTGATACTTTCTAAATATTATATGATTAAATCTCCTACAGTCATTCAATATCGTACATGTGAAACATCCATTGAGTGAGTGAATTTAGACTATTCATCTCATCCAATGCCATAATTATTTTGTTACATGGAAAAACGAGTTTTCAGTTCGCGCGTGTTAGATGTTTCAACCGGCATCTTTGGTCCACTGTTTCTGTTGCAAATATAATTTCCCTCGGCTAATATTCTCAATTAGACCAATTTCAATTTATCAACAATGACATGTAATCGTTGGCAGTGTGTGTGTGTAATCTCGTGGCTGAGGTTTAAGCAAAGCAACTGAAAATGAATTACAAAGAGAGAGAGAGAGAAAAGTATCATAAATGAATTTGGGACCCATCACTGAGACTCGCAATCAATACCCGAGAAATTAATTTAACTAGTTGTGTGTCTTTATCAGACTCTATATATTAATTGCAGAAAACATCTCTAGTTTATTCATCCAACTAATCAAATTAATTATGTCAGTTATATTTGTTCTCATCTCTATTGTTTTGATGAACACTTTTCTTTAGAACATAACACCATGGAGGTTTTCTCCGCTAAAGGCTTCGTTCTGATCACCACGCTATTGTTCCTTGATCACTTTCTCCTTCTTTCTTCTTGTCACTCTCTTCATAAAATAACTCCAAGTCAACCACTTATAGGCGGCGATATTTTGCTCTCCGACAAAGCAACCTTCGCCCTAGGTTTCTTCAACCCCAGCAACAATTCCAGAAACCGCTATGTCGGAATATGGTTTACCAAAGACTTAGAACAACAAACAGTTGTGTGGGTAGCCAATAGAGAAAATCCTCTCAATGATTCTTCTGGAGTATTGTCTATCAATGCCCATGGCAACATAGTTCTTGTTCTTAATGGTATGCACTCGAACTTGAAACCTCTTTGGTCTTCCAATGTTTCGATCACATCTCCTAATGACACATTTGTCAAGCTTCTAGACACAGGAAGCTTCGTTTTATTTGAAAATGATGTGGGAAGAGAAACGGTTCTATGGCAGAGTTTTGATTATCCGGGTGACACTATGCTTTTGTATATGAAACTCGGTTTTAATCGGAGAACTGGTTTCAACTTGTCCCTTACATCATGGAGATCCCCAGATGACCCGAGATCCGGAAACGTGACCCACATGATTGACCCAACAGGTTATCCACAACGATTCCCTTACAAAAACGGAGCTCCATATTGGCGGGGAGGGCCATGGACGGGTCTAAGATTTAGTGGTATATCCCATATGTCAACCAATTTCATCTTCAACGTTAGCTACGTCGACAATGCCAATGAAGTTTTTGAAATGGTTGGAGTTCAAGACCCATCAGTCTTCTTAAGAATTGTGGTGGACAACACTGGTTTTCTCTCAAGAAAAAATTGGCAAGCTAGAGAGAATAGATGGTTTGAGCATTGGCGCGATCCGATAGAAGATTGTGATAAATACCGATGGTGTGGTTCAAATAGCATATGCGACCCATATAATGGTGACAAGTTTGTGTGTGTGTGTGTTTGCCTGGATTTGAACCCAAGAATCCACAAGAGTGGTATGCGAGAAACGGGTCGGGTGGTTGTGTGAAGAAGAATGCATCCACGTGTCAAAGCGGAGAGGGTTTTGTGAAGGTAGATCATGTGAAGGTTCCCGATACGTCAAAGGCTCATGTGGATAAGAGCATGATGTCACGATTCATCATTTTTTATGAGGTTAAGGAGCTCCGAAACGTTCCAAAACCCTCCAGAAGGCTCTCGAACAAGCTCAAGAGTGCTAAAGAGTGCAAGAACATTCTAGAGAAGTCTACACAACTCTAGCATCAATATTTTAATATTTGCTACTAGATCTTTCTATATAAATATCTAGATATTTGTTGTAAATATCTAGGAGAGGATTCTAGAGAATCATTTGTAACCGTAGGATCAATTCAATCTACACCGTCTATTAAGGAGGTAGGAAATATCTAGAACCAAGGGGGAGGTCTATAAATACCTCACCCCTCCTCATTTGTAACACACAACCCTTGAGTTCTCAAAGCAATACTACTCTCACATTCTTCAAGCTCTCTTTCAAGTGTCCTTTGCCCACTAGTTTTTCCTTTCCTCAACTTAGCCAAGCATCCTCCTTTCATACAAGTTAGGCTTACGTAGCAACTTTCAGTGAAGATTATCTAAGTGCCGCACGGTTGAAAGACTAGCCTCGTGACAATGAGCTTGAAAAGTTGTGAAGAGATGCGCATAAAGAATTGTTCATGCTTAGCATATACGAGTTTAAATGAAGTCACAAAACTTGGTTGCTTGATGTGGCAAGTTGACATGGAGGATTTTAGGACATTCGACAAAGTGGGGCAAGATCTGTACGTGCGTGTGGATGCAGCTGAATTGGGTAACTTTTTTTTTTTTTTTTTTGGTTTTTAACAGTTATCACATACATTGCATATAGGCTTAACTGTGTATATTATTCGCTTTCGCCTTTTTTTTTGGACAAATTTTCGCTTTCACTTAGTTTCAAATAAAACTGTTATTCTGCATTAGTGTCATGCAGTAGTTTTAAACAAAAAATTAATTCTTCATAGATTTGTCAGTTTGTCTTTTCAATTGTTTCTTGTGTATTGTTTTTTTATTCATTTAGCTCCCTCACCGATTAAATCATTATCAAGAATTTTACTGTGTCAATATATTCATATGAAATTGATAAAATGCAATGATATTAACATAATTAGGCTAAAGTGTATCATTGGTCCCCTAATTTTATATAAAGTTTTAGTTTCATTCCTTAATTTTTTGTTGATGAAGCTATTGGTGTTAGGATTAAAAGATTGAAAAAACATTTTAATTTGTGATATTGTATTGTGTGAACTTAAAGCACTTATCCACTTTAGCACTAAAATAATTTGTGATATAGTGTGTTCTGTAGCATTCAGCAAGACAATTACTTTTCTTAACACTATATTAACATCACATTATTGAAAATGATTTTATTTGATCATCAAATTGACAAATACATATCGTTTATGACAGATTACAGCCATCAGTTAACTCTATACATTTCTAATACAATATAATTAATCATGAAAAATAATTCACTCCTCATGATAACTTATTCAGCCATTTTAATGAAGTATGATTAGAATTGGTTTCTAATTGAAAAACGTGTCTGAATAATGAAGTATCACTCATAACAAAATCTTGTCTTTGTACCAATATCTGAATTATCTTTCGCCAATTTAATCCATTATATTGCTTATATACTTCGAACTCTGAAGCACACATGATTTCATTAGAGATAGAGTCTACTTTGATGTATTATTGTCTGCAGCTAAATAAGAGCACAACCCTTATGGTGCTCTTGGCATGAAGGGGATGGTGACACTTGTAGTTGTTTCCACCTTCCTAATAACGTTCGTGGTGCTCTCTATTGTGTATTGGTTTGTGAAGAAGAAGGAGCAACCTACGTAAGATGAACTTCTAATTCAGTGCTCTCACCCAGCACATAACTTGGTATATTCTCATTTTCTTTGCATTAATCATTTTTTTATTAGGAGAATTACACTAGAATCCCCTACAACACGATTAAGTACCAATAGATCTATTGGCAACTGAGCATACCAAAATGATAACTAAGTAGTTGTCATTTTAC